CACACCTTAGGAATAGAAGGACATTTAGCGTGAACACACCTTAATAATAATTATTGTGACGTAGGCCTAAGGGACATATCACGTGACTGTGTTTTCGTGCAAGCGGCGGGAAATCTGAAGGTCACTCTCTCACTGAAACCGAAGCGAGTAACATCAGCTAACGAAGAACTAGCAGACGACCAGCAGATGGGGCCACACCAACATCAACTATCATCAAGATCTACTACTCCAAGACTCAAGAAAGTCGTAACATAACAGATTCTAGATCTACATCTCGATTTATTATCTCGCTTTGCCTTTCCTGAAACAGTGCTGTAAATATGAAGCTTAATCTACCCTTCCATGATGAAAGTTCTGATGCCCGAGTGAACAGTATGTCTGCGTTTGAAACGCAAACACTATTTTGTGAGCGTGGGTTCGAATCCCAGTCCCAGCTTTTTTTTTCCCCCTTCTTCTCATCCTCCCAATTTACCAACAATTTTTCCCACAATTACAATTTGCTGCTTTTTAGTTTTTTACAGTGGTAAATAAATCGCCAGTGCTGTCTGTTGTTCTCGTAATCATAACACACTGGGCTAAAAATAGGTTTAGCTGATCTGATGTCGGTGGACGCGGATCTTTTTGAGTCGCTTCTACACCATGCAAAAACTTCGTACGGTACATTAGCTTCGCCTATTTTGGTGGACGCGTAGACTAGAGCAAGTTAGCAAGCAAGCAAGCAAGCACTCACGAACACACACACACACACACGCACACACACACACACACACGCACACACGCGCACGCACACACACACACACACACACACACACACACACAGTTCAATAGTACGGTAGGCATATTTTATGTATTCATGGGTCAAAGGTCCAGCCAATCGTAGCCCGGGTTTACGCCTTCTGTGTAGTCGCATGTAGGTTAAAGGTTTCTCTACTTTAACTTCCTGGTCGTCGAGTACAATCCCGGCGGGGCTTTTGTGTGCACTGAAACCCCGACCCGGTAGGCCCGACCAGACCCGACCCGATAGGCCCGACCAGACCCGACCCGACCCGAACGCATATGTGGGCACCCCCTATTACATTAAAGACATGCATACCGCTCACCGCCTGTTATAATATTAGATTACGCCATCTAGCTAGTAGCTGGTCAGGTAGTGAAAGAAGTTTGGAATCTGCGACCATGGCTTCATTGTTCATGGTTGACTTGTTTTGACAGTGGGCTCAATCTCTTTGTGACGATATGTGCTTATTCGTGTTAGTGTTTGCGTTTTGTTTGTTTTTGTTTTTGTAAAGTGTTTTACGGCGCTCGCAACTGCATTAAGGTCATATGAGCGCGCAGGACGCACCTAATATTTTCAGTTGGTAGGAAATTTTTAATTTTGCCCGGGTGGCGGCCGAAGCCTACTATTATCGAT